TGCATGTTTAGAGAAGCTGCGGTCCAACAGTCACCGAATCTGGAGGGGAAAAGCGTCCACAGAAGTCACGAGAAATACATTTAGTCCAGTGCTTGAGCTTAATCGTCTCTTTCCGAACACCACTGAGATATATCTTTTGCGGGAAAACGTTCACTTCCTTTTCTGTATCGCGTGCTGTCTCTATCTAGCTTTCTTTAACTACTGTTCCGACCGTTTTTCTTTACACACGCACACACAAAGTCAGTCCTTGACTGATTGAAAGACCCACTGCCTCCCCAACAAGCGTGTCGTAGGAGTCGACCAACTGAGGGCTTCATTCGAAGTAAAATAGATGTACACGCAAAACCCAGGCCTTGGCACAATGCAAAAGTCCAAGAAGACGAAAAACTAGGACTTTCCCCCGGAGCTTACAGTCGATGGACAGATAAGAAGAATAATGCCAAGCTAACAGTTTATGGGTTTGTAAAAGGCCCTTTTTTTACGCCTTCAGGCGTATTGAACAAATATGGCTAGACCTGTATTTTATAGACCAATCGCTGCTTGGTGGGTAATGTGATCAACATCAAGCCGACCACCTTTACTTCCCAGGTCTTCTACCTGGTATCCATTTAAGGCTGGATTGACCCGAGAGCCAAGGTCATTTTTCGAAAAGAAAAGCCTAGCACCGTCTGAATTTGAACCCACAATTTTGGATACACAGGCGAGCGTCTTGCCGCTACACCTCGACGGCTCCCTTATGGGCTTGTATTTGTGGCATTTAACTCCTTAACTCCCAAGTATCGCTTGATGTGTGATTAGCTCTTCTCCTTGAAACCCGACCACAGAGCCGCGTATTCTCTCTTAAACTTAAACAGACTTAAAAAAAAAATCTAGATACTTTTCTTATAGTTCACCCATTTCGGGAACTCCGAGACTTCATATGCAGTTCCTGGGAAAGTCCAGTTTTATGGGGTGGGGAGCGGGGGTGTTCGTTAAGAGCTGTTGTTAGTTAGCGTTCATCTTACACCCTAATACACTAATACTGATGGACTTTTCCGGAACTCCCCATGAATTCTCGTATTCCTCGAGATAGGGTGAACTGAAAGAAAGGAACCGAAATCCACAGTGCAACTTTCGTTGTAAATAGCTGACTTAAAACAAATGCTTAAAACTAAAATTGCAAATGCGAGGAGTAAATCGACATCAACAGGGACTGTACTAAGTAGAGTGCAGGGCTGCCAATGGAATTTTTCTCAATTCCCAAGCTAAGTTGGCCAAAAAAACCAGCAATACAGAAGCAAAGAACAATAAAAAAAAAACAACAACCCAAGATTGATAAAAAGTACACATTTTATTGTTTCGAAACGAAACATTTACCCACTTTTATAAAAGGATATATTTTGTTAAAAACCCAAGATTCCAAAATCTGAACCCAAGGCGTCAAATAAAAACCCAGATCTGGGGGTAAAAACCCATCATTGGCAGCCCTGAGTAGAAGTATTCATTTGAACATGCAACAAAAAAGCCAGAAATCTCCCCGCCGCACCAGCCAGTCTCAGGTGCCACAACAGTCCTGGGTGCCAGGGTGCACAATGTTGACCCAGCCGTGTTAAGCCACGCCTATCTACACCAAGTCTGGAGATAGCCCCAAGGGACAGAACCTGCTCAAGCGGCCACAGTCCATTGAATACGCGACTGGCTTTAAATTGAGCAGGATTTGAGGGGCTGACCGTTTGACCTGTGGCCTTCAGAAGGACAACCCAGCGCGCAGCCCGACCATTTGAGGGCATATCATGCTCCGATTGTAGGGTTGATTTCGATTGTACATGAGCCAGACACACTAGGTGTTCTATAGTATTTTTCTATCCATGTTTATGACCTTTCCACTCGGATAGGGTCAACATGGCCTTGAGGCGTTATATAAAAATAGAGGTTCCAATAACGAAGTTGGACCCAGGGAGACGGCGATTAGATGTTTATTCATGTGTCTGTACCTTTGAAAAACAAAAGCATGGATGGTAAATACATGCACACACTCACTCACTGATGCATGGACACACTCCCACGCACTCACTAACCCACTCACTTACTCATTCACTCACTCACATCTCTCTCACTCACCGCTCCCACTCACTGCTCCCACTAACTCACTCACTGCTCTTAATTACTCACTCACTGCTCCCACTCACTCACTCACTCACACACTCACTCACTCACTCACTCACTCACTCACTCACTCACTCACTCACTCACTCACTCACTCACTCACTCACTCACTCACTCACTCACTCACTCACTCACTCACTCACTCACTCACTCACTCACCCACTCACTCACTCACTCATTCACTCACTCACTCACTCACTCACTCACTCACTCACTCACTCACTCACTCACTCACTCACTCACTCACTCACTCACTCACTCACTCACTCACTCACTCACTCACTCACTCACTCACTCACTGCACTCACTCACTCACTCACTCACTCACTCACTCACTCACTCACTGCACTCACTCACTCACTCAATCACTCACTCACTCACTCACTCACTCACTCACTCACTCACTCACTGCACTCACTCACTCAATCACTCACTCACTCACTCACTCACTCACTCACTCACTCACTCACTCACTCACTCACTCACTCACTGCACTCACTCACTCAATCACTCACTCACTCACTCACTCACTCACTCACTCACTGCACTCACTCACTCACTCACTCACTCACTCACTCACTCACTCACTCACTCACTCACTCACTCACTCACTCACTCACTCACTCACTCACCCACCCACCCACTCACTCACTCACTCACTCACTCACTCACTCACTCACTCACTCACTCACTCACTCACTCACTCACTCACTCACTCACTCACCCACTCACTCACTCACTCACTCACTGCACTCACTCACTCAATCACTCACTCACTCACTCACTCACTCACTCACTCACTCACTCACTCACTCACTCACTGCACTCACTCACTCAATCACTCACTCACTCACTCACTCACTCACTCACTGCACTCACTCACTCACTCAATCACTCACTCACTCAATCACTCACTCACTCACTCACTCACTGCACTCACTCACTCACTCACTCACTCACTCACTCACTCACTCACTCACTCACTCACTCACTCACTCACTCACCCACTCACTCACTCACCCACCCACTCACTCACTCACTCACTCACTCACTCACTCACTCACTCACTGCACTCACTCACTCAATCACTCACTCACTCACTCACTCACTCACTCACTGCACTCACTCACTCACTCACTCACTCACTCACTCACTCACTCACTCACCCACTCACTCACTCACACCCAGAAGATAAAGGAGAATAGTTGTGCAAGGTTGGAGACAGTATTATTATTGCCAGATAATTCAGTGGGTGCAATGCAGTCAGCCTTCATTGTGAAGACGGCACATAATTTATTTAAGATAATGTAATAACATTTTTACGCTTTGAGGCACATTGGGCCGAAGTCTTCTTATAGTCTATGTCCTGTGATGTTTGAATCAGTGTTTTTCCACAGCCTTCTGTCTCGTGTACAGTCAGCCATTTTGATACGAAGCTATGTTATTCTATGTCATGCAGTGGAACTGTCCAACACCTTCTCTCCGGGTCTCTCTGTCTGCCCCTTGTACCCTCCAGCTTGTCCAGTCTCACGAGAAAATTGAACAAATTGTGTAAAGCTACTTCCTTGGCAGATACTGCTTATAGCTACTTCCTTGGCAGATACTGCTTAAAGCTACTTCCTTGGCAGATACTGCTTAAAGCTACTTCCTTGGCAGATACTGCTTAAAGCTACTTCCTTGGCAGATACTGCTTAAAGCTACTTCCTTGGCAGATACTGCTTAAAGCTACTTCCTTGGCAGATACTGCTTAAAGCTACTTCCTTGGCAGATACTGCTTAAAGCTACTTCCTAGGCAGATACTGCTTAAAGCTACTTCCTTGGCAGATACTGCTTAAAGCTACTTCCTTGGCAGATACTGCTTAAAGCTACTTCCTAGGCAGATACTGCTTAAAGCTACTTCCTAGGCAGATACTGCTTAAAGCTACTTCCTAGGCAGATACTGCTTAAAGCTACATCCTTGGCAGATACTGCTTAAAGCTACTTCCTTGGCAGATACTGCTTAAAGCTACTTCCTAGGCAGATACTGCTTAAAGCTACTTCCTTGGCAGATACTGCTTAAAGCTACTTCCTTGGCAGATACTGCTTAAAGCTACTTCCTAGGCAGATACTGCTTAAAGCTACTTCCTAGGCAGATACTGCTTAAAGCTACTTCCTAGGCAGATACTGCTTAAAGCTACATCCTTGGCAGATACTGCTTAAAGCTACTTCCTTGGCAGATACTGCTTAAAGCTACTTCCTAGGCAGATACTGCTTAAAGCTACTTCCTTGGCAGATACTGCTTAAAGCTACTTCCTAGGCAGATACTGCTTAAAGCTACTTCCTAGGCAGATACTGCTTAAAGCTACTTCCTAGGCAGATACTGCTTAAAGCTACTTCCTTGGCAGATGGCTGTGAAGCGGTATACTTTCACATGTACTCGCCAGAATGGCAGACTTGGGAATTAAGATCGGCACAGCAAAAAACGAGACGCACACCAGCTACGCCAGAAGACTTGTTAATCAACATAGAACTGGTACTATTAGCCATCGGACGTTGGGGTTCATACTGAGGGGAGGATCTGAGCACCTATGGACATGTCCGGAGTGCAATGAGGATAACCCAACTAACTAACTAACTAACTAACTAACTTTCACATGTACTAGGCCACGGTGTAGGAGATGAGATGACCAGTTCCCCTTATTATTCTTCCCAATCTACATACAAGTTTGGACCAGTCAGCCATTACAGAGTAGTGAGGCCAGTTTAACACTGACTGCCTTTATTTTCCATGACATTTCCTTGTACCCATTTTAGGCCTGGGAACCAAGTTGAATCAGAGTGTTATTGTGATGAATACATTTCCTTTTTTCCCCCAGTTACCCTTTCCAGTGATTGGCTCTCTCAACGCTGTACACATGTTCGCAACCAATCACAACGCTACTCTGAGATCTACCACAACGGAAGACGCTAGAATTGTATGGCGTGAATTTCGAAACAGGTACATAAGATTTGTTTTGTTGGGGGCAGGGAGAGGGGAGGGGGGGGGGGGCGTGGATGTTGGTCAGGGAAAGTGCACCTTTCCTTTCTTTCCAGACTATAATATTCCACTGTGTTATAGGGAGGAGTGGGAGTCATAGCTGATGAAGGCCAAGGACAAAGTTCCTCCTCACCATGGGACAAAACTTTTGTACTGCATTGTAACACCATGTGTTACTCATGCAACATGATGATGCTTCTCTCGACCTGCTTTGTTAGCTCCAAAGGAAGGGTAACACCCAAATATTTGGTGGAACAAAGCACCCTGCAGAAGCTGCTGGATCATAGTAGCGATCTTCCTTCGAGGTTGGAGTGCATCTGCCGGAGTGGAAAGGAACAACCAGCTACACACAAATGAGCCAGTAAAATGGATGTATAAGCAAAACACAGGCCCTGGTACAAGGCCAAAGCCCACATAGACAAACGACTGGGACTTTGAACAAAGAAGAAAAATAGTAATATCTGCCTGTCTGAGCTTCCCTCCTGGACCAGCTGCCAGCTAAAGATTTAGGCTCTGGCCAGCATCAGATAATGGTCCTAGTATATGACATTTTAAAGTTAAGATACTATTATCATGTTGTTGGTTTTTATGTTGTTTTTCTGATAGTTCGTGCCATATAGTGTTGATAATCTTGTCTGTCAACCGCCTTCTGTCATGTATATTGTCAGTCATTTCTGACACAGGTGTTCTCCCATGCAATCATGTCAGACTGTCTTTGTACTGTCAATAGTCTCTGGCACAGGTGTTGTTCTATGCCATGATGCCAGCCTGTCTTTGTACTGTCAATAGTCTCTGGCACAGGTGTTGTTCTATGCCATGATGCCAGCCTGTCTTTGTACTGTCAATAGTCTCTGGCACAGGTGTTGTTCTATGCCATGATGCCAGCCTGTCTTTGTACTGTCAATAGTCTCTGGCACAGGTGTTGTTCTATGCCATGATGCCAGCCTGTCTTTGTACTGTCAATAGTCTCTGGCACAGGTGTTATCTATGCCATGATGCCAGCCTGTCTTTGTACTGTCAATAGTCTCTGGCACAGGTGTTATCTATGCCATGATGCCAGCCTGTCTTTGTACTGTCAGTAGTCTCTAACACAGATGTTGTTTCACGCTATGATGACAGCCTGTCTTTGTACTGTCAGTAGTTTCTGACACAGATGTTGTTTCACACCATCATGTCAGATTGTCTGTGTACTATCAGTAGTTTCTGACACAGATGTTGTTCCATGCCATGATGCCAAACTGTCTTTGTACTGTCAGTAGTTTCTGATACAGATGTTGTTCCACTCCATCATGCTTGCTGCATGCTAATGTCACTGATGCAGAAACTGTAACATGTGAAAGTTACCAATTACTAGTACTACAATGCCAGCTGTGCACACATATTCTTAACAGCAAAGTCACAAGGAAAATAACATATATACCCCTCTCCAGTACAACCCTTAACTGCTAACCCTTACATATGCAAATTGATCACACCTCACCATTAGCATGCTAGTGTGCTAGGTGTTTAATAGGTTTCTTCACAGTTAAGTCAGGAAGTAAAGGACTCTCTTCACACCATTGGCACATTGAACCTATAGTGGCACATTGAACCTATAGTGGCACATTGAACCTATAGTGGCACATTGAACCTATAGTGGCACATTGAACCTATAGTGGCACATTGAACCTATAGTGGCACATTGAACCTATAGTGGCACATTGCACCTATAGTGGCACATTGAACCTATAGTGGCACATTGAACCTGTAGTGGCACATTGAACCTGTAGTGGCACATTGAACCTGTAGTGGCACATTGAACCTATAGTGCTAGACCATCATGCCTGGCACCTTTACTTCCTGTTAAACATTTTAGGTTGGGTTGACCTGGTAGCCAAGATCAGTTTTGAACTTCACAGATATATTTTCAGTAATGTTGTTTTGCTAATGTTAGTATTGTTTAGGTTTTTCCTCACAATCTTGTTTCACGAACAGTTCAGCATAACCCAGTTGTTTGTTTTCATTATTGTATGGATACTGGTAGTGTGAATGGAATGTGCACAGGCAGCGGAGGGTGTGTGGACGCAGCAAGGAGTTCTGTAAAGAGTGATGGGATTCTGATGGACAGATAATACTTTATGAGAACACCATGGACAACAAAAAAAAAAGAAGTAAACAGCGATGTCTTTGAAAGAAATTAATTACAGAGAGCTGATTACCAACATCAAACGGAGCTTGTTCACATTTTTGGAGGCTTGTCATCAGAACGGAAAAATTGAAGTATGTCATGGCAGCTGAAAAATGTAAGGGAGTGAGTGGCAGGGGAAGACAAAGAGAGAAGATGGTGGGCAGTTTGACATCTTACCATAAAACAGGGTCATTTAACTGAGATTACTCAGGGGCTAACATGTTGAAATGTTTGGATGGTTGCTGGCCAGAGATCTAAGCCCCAGCATAGAGTACAATGCAATTGGTAGATGGACCGTGGGCCACTTGCTAGGCCTCTGCAGGCCGGATTTAGCTCATGGGCCATCAGTTGAATAGCCCTGTCATGTTAGGACAGCTGTATCAGAAAGACTGACAGTACCTGCGTCAGAAGGCTGTGGGCGGGCATGTTGACCGACACCACACATCATGGCCTTTGAGAAGAAGTGCATAATTGGATTGTAGTTTTTACATGTTTATTGGAACTGCTTTATGACTGATTATATTTGTTGTCTTAAGTGAATTCTGTTTCTGGCAAATGTATTTTGCATTAAAAAAAATTTTTTTAGTTCTTTCTTTTGAAGTGATCTTGGTTTTATTATTTGGATTGTTAATTATAGTTTAGTTCTTTGTTAGAAGCTCTTTTCAGATACCTTCTTTTAATAAAAAACAAATAAATTATAATTGAGTGCTGAGTTGTGTAATAAAGACTATTTTTTTTTAACTGTTCATAATCAACAACTTATCTCTTGTGGGACAGATATTGTCATAAACTAAAGTTAAACAGTGTGACGTATATTGACATAAACTAAGGTTGAACAGTGTGAGGTATATTGACATAAACTAAGGTTGAACAGTGTGTCAGATACTGTCATAAACTAAGGTTAAACAGCGTGACATTTATTGACATAAATTAGGTTGAACAGTGTGACAGATATTATTATAAACTAAAATTGAACAGTGTGCCAGATATTGTCATTAACTAAAATTGAACAATGTGACAGATTTTTCATTAACTAAAATTGAACAGTGTGCCAGATATTGTCATTAACTAAAATTGAACAATGTGACAGATATTGTCATAAACTAAGGTTGAACAATGTGACACATTTTGCCATAAACTTACGTTGAACAGTGTGGCAGATGTTATCATAAACTAAGGTTGAAGTGTGTGACATATATTGCCATAAACTAAGGGTAAACTGTGTGACAGATATTGTCATAAACTAAGGTTAAACAGTGTGACATATATTGACATAAATTAAGGTTGAACAATGTGCCAGATATCATAAACTAAAGTTGAACAGTGTGCCAGATGTTGTCATTAACTAAAATTGAACAATGTGACAGATATTGTCATAAACTAAAGTTGAACAATGTGACAAATATTGTCATAAACTAAGTTTGAACAGTGTGACAGATACTGCCACCACTCAGAGTTTGCTTTATCGGTTTTACCATATCTGATCTTTTCTCTCCTCAGTAGTTCAAGTGCTGATATCCAGATTCTCATCTCAATTGCAAGTTTTCTTTTTCTCTCATTGCCCAAGTCTGGCTTTGATAGCATAGATTTAGTTAGAGAAGTTTTCTGTCATATTGTCTTATATTGTTGCCAGTTCTTCTTCTTGCTTGTGTGACATATATTTTCAGAACAGTATGTTAATGTAATTTATCGGTGTTTCTAATGTAAATCGACTGTTGCCTGCAAACGATCAGCCTAATTATTGCTTGATTCCACTCTTCTAGTCTTGTACTGATATCTGTCACAAGTCGAGACAGTGCTGCTGATGATGTTCTTGCTGGGAAGTTGCTGGAGAATGTCTTTGATGCCATGATTCTCTTGTATGGCCTGGATGAACTGACAAACATTAAGAATGTTGAGCGTTTCAAGAAGGAGATAAAGGTTAGTATATATTTATTGCTGTCTTCAAATATAAAAGACATAAGGTAATCAAAGACATCCTCACTGAATAAATTGTTTCTTGTGTGGTAAGTAAAAGTGTTAACTATGAGTGCTCATAAGTAATAAGTGCTCATAATTTCAGTCAATTATAAATCATTGGTCATCAACAAAGTTAACTATGATTTAGTGGTCATCAATTCAGTCAGTTATAAATCAGTGGTCATCATTTCAGTCAGATATAAATCAGTGGTCATCATTTCAGTCAGTTATATATCAGTAGTAATTATTTCAGTCAGCTATATATCAGTGGTCATAATTTCAGTCAGCTATATATCAGTGGTCATCATTTCAGTCAGTTATATATCAGTGGTCATCATTTCAGTCAGTTATAAATCAGTGGTCATCATTTCAGTCAGTTATATATCAGTGGTCATCATTTCAGTCAGTTATATATCAGTGGTCATCATTTCAGTCAGTTATATATCAGTGGTCATCATTTCAGTCATCTATATATTTTTTATTGCTACGAAAATTAGAAAGGAGATCCCCAAACGGAAAATGGACTGGAAACGTTAAAGGACGACGAGACAGAAAAACGACTTACATAGGCACATGGAACATATGTGGTATTGCCAACAAAGAGCCACAAATAGTGGATTTCATGAAAAGAAAAAATATACACGTCATGGGTCTTGCGGATACAAGAAAGAAAGGATATAATACAAAAGAAATACATGAAAATTATGTTTTATTATGGAGCGGAGTACCCACTAAAGATAGGGCAAAACATGGTGTCGGATTTATACTTCATCCCGAGACAGCAAAATTAATAACAGGAACATAATTTATATCAGAAAGAATTATTTTAATCAAGTTGACAGAAGGAAGTAAAACTACAACGATTATTCAGATATATGCACCTTGCAATGATAGTTATTCTGAAGAAGAAAAAGAAGACTTTTACGAGAGACTTACGGACACCATCAACAATGTTAAAGAGAAAGAGGACATCATAGTAATGGGAGATTTTAATGGTAGGGTAGGTAAAAGAAGATCACCATGGGAGAGATACCTTGGCCCATTTAGCGACACACACACAGATTGCAATAGAAATGGAGAACACCTGCTAAACTTGTGTGCTGAACAAGATCTCTACATTACCAACACATTCTACCAAAAATCGCCAAAGTTAGGTTAAAACGTGGTACAAGTGGAACAACTTAGATCAAGCGTCACAAATTGATTTTATACTAGTCAGACAACGGCAGAAGAGGAAGCCCAGTAGTTATGAACATATGCAACTCAAGTAGAAACAGTCTACATAAACAGAAACTGGAAGAAATCATCAACACTAAGAAATTAGAGGAAGAGAATATCAAACATGAATTTGAACTAGAAATAACAAAGGCTTTTGCAGATATTGCCAAGGAACCAGTAGGAATTGAAAAAGAATGGGATTATTATAAATCAACCATCACGAAGATATTAAAAGACAAGTGTGGTACCAGAAAGACGGGCAAAGGCAAGAAAAAGGGTACCGCTTGGTGGAATGAAGAAGTCAAAGAAGCAGTGTCAAATAAAAAGATGTTTCAAATATGGTTAAAAACAAAAGACGAAAAGGATTACATTAGGTACAGACTAACTCGAAGAGACACCAAGAGAACAATAAAGAAATCCAAAGAGGAATCATGGAAAAAGTATGGTGAACACCTAACACAGCTATGTACAGAATCATCAAGAGACTTTTATAAGAGTGTGAAAGCGATGCGATTAAGAGAAGAAAGCTTCAATCCAACATCAGTCATAAATGATAAAAATGGAAAACCATTATTCAGCCAAAAAGAAATTAAAAAAAGATGGGAGGAATATTTTAAAGAACTTTTGAACCCGTCGGGAATACATGAAACAGCAGAATTCCATTCAAGGGCTCCAGATCATCCCGAACCACACATCCTGCGGGATGAAGTAGAGAAAGATATCAAAACAAGTAAAAGACACAAAGCAGCTGGTATCGACGGAATAACAACAGAAGTCATCCAGGCTGGAGGGGACACTATGATCACCTGGCTGGAGAGAATTTTCAATAGAGCATGGGCAGAGAGAAAGGTACCAGTGGATTCGCAAAGATCAGTTGTAGTACCTATCTGGAAGAAAAAAGGAAACAAGAGAGAATGTGGAACTTATAGAGGAATATCTTTACTAAGTCATGTGGGGAAAATGTATGCAAAGATCTTAGAAGGTAGGATAAGAGCAAAGGTTGAACCTCTACTGAGTAAAGCACAATTCGGTTTCAGGAAAGGGCGAGGTTGCACTGATGCCATATTTGCACTAAGACAAGTCTGTGAAAAGACACTCGAATACGATAAAGAGCTGAACGTGGTCTTTGTAGATCAAGAGAAGGCATTCGACCGTGTAGACAGAGATGTGCTGTGGAGAATTCTTGACGATTACGGAGTGCAGGGTCAATTATTAGACAACATCAGAGCCCTCTATGAAAAAAGTGAAAGTGCAGTAAGAACATCTAGTGGTCTTTCTGAATGGTTCAAAGTCACAACTGGTGTCAGACAAGGATGTGTACTGTCACCATTACTTTTCATAACATACATGGATAAGATCACTGTAGAAGCAAACCCAGACGTGTATGCTATAAACGAATTACTTTTTGCTGATGATCAAAGCATACTGTATCAAAATGAATATGATCTACAGGAACATCTGACTACTCTCAACAACAGCTGTTTACAACATAATATGAGAATCAGTACAGAAAAAACAGAAGTTATGAAGATCAGCAGAACACACAGGCCACTGAAAATAAATGTTGGAAGTGCCAAAATCAAGCAAACCAAAGAGTTCAAATACTTGGGCAGTATATTTACAGAGGATGGAAGAATGGACAGAGAGATAGAAACAAGAATACAGAAAGCAAATGCTGTCACATACCAACTATCACCTCTGCTTAAACATCCAGATATAACCATGAAAACCAAAAGACAATTGATAAACACCATCTTCATTCCAACGCTCTGCTACCAGTGCCAGACATGGACAATCAACAAGACCCACGAAAGAAAAATAGAAGCCTGTGAAATGAAATGTCTAAGAAAAGCAGCGAATAAGACCAGACTAGACAGGATAAAGAATATAGACATTAGAAACACTGTCAAAACTACACTATGTTTAGACTACATAGAACATCAAAGAATGAAATGGTTTGGACATCTAACCAGGATGAAAAATGATCAAATAACATCACAAATTTTCAACCAAAGAAGCTCAGGATAAAAGGCAAGAGGAAGACCAAGGAAACGGTGGATTGCGGGGTCTCCGAAACCTGCCAAAAGCATGGCCTCAGAACATCAGATGCTGCCCGCCTTGCTTACGACAGGAACTTGCATCTCCCCACAACGCTTAGCGGCATACGTGGAAGGAAAAAGTAAAAGTAAGTAAAGTAAAGTATATATCAGTGGTCATTATTTCAGTCATTTATATATCAGTGGTCATTATTTCAGGCAGTTATATATCAGTGGTCATCATTTCAGTCAGTTATATATCACTGGTCATTATTTCAGTCATCTATATATCACTGGTCATCATTTCAGTAAGTTATATATCAGTGGTCATCATTTCAGTCAGTTATATATCAGTGGTCATCATTTCAGTCAGTTAAATATCAGTGGTCATCATTTCAGTCATCTATATATCAGTGGTCATTATTTCGGTCAGTTATATATCAGTGGTCATTATTTCAGTCATCTATATATCAGTGGTCATTATTTCAGTCATCTATATATCAGTGGTCATTATTTCAGTCATCTATATATCAGTGGTCATTATTTCAGTCATCTATATATCAGTGGTCATCATTTCAGTCAGTTATATATCAGTGGTCATCATTTCAGTCATCTATATATCAGTGGTCATCATTTCAGTCAGTTATATACCAGTGGTCATAATTTCAGTCAGCTGTAAATTAGTAGTCATCGCACGTCTCCATCGTTCACTGCTCTTGTCTCTTACGTCCACATCATGTACTGCTCTTGTCTCTCATGTCCACATCATGTACTGCTCTTGTCTCTCATGTCCACATCATGTACTGCTCTTGTCTCTCATGTCTACATCATGTACTGCTCTTGTCTCTCATGTCCACATCATGTACTGCTCTTGTTTCTCATGTCCCCACCATGTACTGCTCTTGTCTCTCATGTCCACATCATGTACTGCTCTTGTCTCTCATGTCCCCACCATGTACTGCTCTTGTCTCTCATGTCTACATCATGTACTGCTCTTGTCTCTCATGTCCCCACCATGTACTGCTCTTGTCTCTCATGTCCCCACCATGTACTGCTCTTGTCTCTCATGTCCCCATCATTTACTGCTCTTGTCTCTCATGTCTACATCATGTACTGCTCTTGTCTCTCATGTCCCCACCATGTACTGCTGTTGTCTCTCATGTCCACATCATGTACTGCTCTTGTCTCTCATGTCCACATCATGTACTGCTCTTGTCTCTTACGTCCACATCATGTACTGCTCTTGTCTCTCATGTCCACATCATGTACTGCTCTTGTCTCTCATGTCCACATCATGTACTGCTCTTGTCTCTTACGTCCACATCATGTACTGCTCTTGTCTCTCATGTCCACATCATGTACTGCTCTTGTCTCTCATGTCCACATCATGTACTGCTCTTGTCTCTTACGTCCACATCATGTACTGCTCTTGTCTCTCATGTCCCCATCATGTACTGCTGTTGTCTTTCATGTCCATATCATGTACTGCTCTTGTCTCTCATGTCCCCATCATGTACTGCTCTTGTCTCTTACGTCCACATCATGTACTGCTCTTGTCTCTCATGTCCACATCATGTACTGCTTTTGTCTCTCATGTCCATATCATGTACTGCTCTTGTCTCTCATGTCCATATCATGTACTGCTCTTGTCTCTCACATACCCACCATTTACTGCTCTTGTCTCTCATGTCCCCATCATGTACTGCT